ACACTCACAACCAACACACACTAACAACCTACACACACTCACAACCTACACACTCACAACCAACACACACTCACAACCAACACACACTAACAACCTACACACACTCACAACCAACAAACACTCACAACCTACACACTCACAACCAACACACACTCACAACCTACACACTCACAACCAACACACACTAACAACCAACACACACTCACAACCAACACACACTAACAACCTACACACACTCACAACCTACACACTCACAACCAACACATACTCACAACCAACACACACTAACAACCTACACACACTCACAACCTACACACTCACAACCAACACATACTCACAACCAACACACACTCACAACCAACACACACTCACAACCTACACAACTCACAACCAACACACACTCACAACCTACACACTCACAACCAACACACACTCACAACCAACACACACTCACAACCAACACACACTCACAACCAACACACTCACAACCAACACACACTCACAACCAACACACACTCACACACTCAGCAGCACAAACAAATCTGGAAATATATGTTATGGATAAGGTCAAAATCAAGACTACATTATTTTCAGTCTTTTTCAGAGAATTTGAATCATGATTATTAAAAGACTCATAGGAGGTTATGTTACTGAAATATTATTTGTTTTAGATTGTAATCATTTCGAGGTTGATTATTTGAAGATACTAAATCCTTATTTTTAGGAAACGTAAACGATTTTGAGACACTCAGTTATTTACTTGAGATTCTAGGTAATCTTTCAGGGAAGTTTGTTATTTTTGGGAGATATTTTTATGATTTTCTTCTGAAAGTTTCTTAGGATTGAAAAGATACCAAGTCATTATTTTGAGATAGTTAGTCAGTATTCTGAGATATTGATTCCTTATATTGATATACAAAGTCATTATCTTGAGATACTGAGTCATATTTTGAGATACTTAGTAATCATTTGAGGTACTAAGTCTTTAAATTAAGAAGTTTGGTACTTTATGTTACCAATAACATTAGTATACAGTTGCTTTATTATGATGTAAATGATTCCTCCAGCTGCGAACCATACATGCCGGCAGACTCGGGTCACCATTGGGAATCATTACATTATTATCAGGCTTCATTAACGCTCGTGGAAATATGAAATTGATTCAGATCCAGGAAATGCCGCCCACAGCAACTCAGAGCGGGAACAGTTCTGTAAGGGATAATGTGCAGCGTCATTACGGGGAAGAGAACACCCGACAGGCAGACCAGGAGCCCGACGCGAAGCTTCGGCCAAACTGCATACAGTTAAATCAACCGGACTTCTTTGTGCAGATGTGAGCGTCCTTAACAACGGTCAATAAGTCCTTGACAGCGGTCTGTCTGTTCTGGGTTAACAACGTGTCACGTGTTCTGAATTGACCAATCAGAATCGAGTATTCAACTAAGCCATGTAATAACCACTGTTAATGTCCATAAGCCAATATATAAAATAAAATGTCATTTAATAAGAAAATTGAACATTTGAACAGCAGTTTTTGTCTCAAACTGACATGTGAAGTTGAGTTAAAGTGAGGCTTTTACATTGTCACACTTAAGCCTTAATGTTTGTACTGTGAAGGCAGCAATTACAGCTTTTATTTAATTAAGTTTGGGACAATGTGGAGACATTCAAACCGTTTTATAAGGAAAAATAAGTGTGATTGCCCTCAAGAAAATGTTACGCTATTTTGGAAATGTTTGGATTTTAGCATATTGTACATGTGAGCGTCTGATTTGTTAATCTGGATAGCTGAAATGTTGTTTTACTGGTATCTTGACGAGATGTGGCTCCTGATTAAACCGATGTATTCAAGTATCTCTAATTGAATCTGTATTTAATCTTCATTATGTGTTCTTCACGTACCCTGGTGATGTTTTGGACCCGGAAAAGTCGGATGATCACGTCGTCGTCGGCCGTTCTGGTCAGCAGCTCCACGGTCATCGGACCAAACTGCTGCAACCCGGGCTCAGGCCAATACTGCAGACAGGGCTGAGGAGAGAGGAGAGAGGCTTTCAACGTCACTTTATTCAACTTAAAGAGTACAAACAACCCAACCAGTCAAACAAACACAGCTTTAGGAATCAGATCCATCGCCCCCGACAGGACACAACAGACTTAACGCCTGCAATTCTCCATAAAAAGTTCAACCGTGTGTAAACATCCTTCTTCTTGGCAAAGGACTTATGACCAAAGATACATACAATAAAGAAGAGAGGAGAGGAGAGGATAAGGAGAGAGGAGTGATAACAGGAATCAGGATAGGAGGGAAGAAAAAGGAAGGAAATGATGGGATGATATAGAGAGGAGGAGATTAGGAGATAAGGAGAGGAGAAGGGATAAGAGGAGGGGATAGGAGAGGAGGAGAGGGGAGACAGTAAGTAGAGAAAAAGGAATGATAAGAAAGGAAGGAGATGAAAAAGGAGAGAGGATATGAGGAGAGAAAGGAAACAAGTAGAGAAGAGAGGAAAGAGCAAGTAGAGGAAAGGAGAAGAGGGAATAAGAGAAATGAGAAAGTCGAACAAGGAAACAGAAAAGGAGAGAGGAGAGGAAAGGAAATGAAGTATATGAGAAAGAAGAATAGAAAAACGAAGGAAAGAGAGGTAAAAGTCAGGATTAAAGAAGGTAAGTAAAGAGGAAAGAAGGAAGGAAAGGAAGGAAAACAGGAAGTAGAAGATGACAGGAAAGGAGATGAGAAGAAGGAAAGAGGATGAGAATAATTGGAATAGGAGAGGACGGCAAGAAAAGAGAGGAAGGACACGAGAAAGCAGAATAGGAAAATATTTGAGGAGAGAAGAAAGGGATAGGAAGGAAAAGGTTAGTACAGAATAGAGGAAGGATAAGAGGAGGAGAGGAAGGAAAGGAAGTGAAGGAAAGAAGAGAGAAAGTAGAGAAGGTCATTCTCCCTTGTTGCTGGCGGCGTTAGAAACCCCTGAGTCAGCAGCTCTGATGCTAACTACACCTGAGTATTGACAGCAGACACAATTAGCCTAAATGACAACGATTATCCACAAAGAGCTGCGGTAAATTAAAGAAGCTAAAAAAAACACACAAGCTGGAACAATTCTTCCCATGAGCGCCGCCCGCCTGCAGGGAAGTGTCCATGAGCGGGAAATCATTAGCATTAGCACGTTATAAACGAATGGAAGAGAGCTATATGCCTCTGCCAGAGATACACAGGAAGCCCCAGAGGTGGGACGTACGCATATATATATAAAAAAGGCAAGGTCTCCTGTCAATGCGATTTAAAGACAAGCCCCCCCCAGCCAATAGGATTGAAAGGGGGGTCGAGGGGAAGTGATAATGGCATTTCACAATGACAGAAGGGCACCAACAGGTGAGTTTGGGCACGAAGGGAGATAAATATTTATACATTCAGACAGGAGACAGGCAGCTCTGACTCACGGGGGCAAACTGTGGGTGTGAGGGTGTGTGTGTGTGTGTGTGTGTGTGTGTGTGTGTGTGTGTGTGTGTGTGTGTGTGTGTGTGTGTGTGTGTGTGTGTGTGTGTGTGGGTG